TGATTCAACACCCGTCATTAGATCACATATTCGAATCAGTTGAATTCATTGAGCGCCAGTTAACAGGTTGAGTATCCAATGAGAGGTAGTTTTGTTTACGCTTCAGATAATCAGAAAGAATTAGTTTGATAGTCTTTCGATCTATGCCAGTTTCTACTTGCTTTTCATCAATCATAAGACAATCATAACAACTAACAAGTCATCGAACTTATTCGATATTTACAAATAATGTCTCGATTACAAGTCAGCGAGTGCGTAGTTCATTCTCGATCTCTTCTTAATCTTTATGGAAACACGTTGGCCATTTTACAATGATATTGTAGGATAGGATTTAGTCACTAACAATAGAATATAATTTATCATGAATCGGTTTCAGTTTAAACATAAGTTTAGAACCAAACACTTTTCTTATTTATCTAAAAATTATAGTTGATAGGTTGCATCGAAAGATTTCATATGATATTATCACTTAAGTAAAAATTACTTTCGATTTAAAGGAGACTTATAGAAAGAATCGGAGTTTATTTATATAATTATAACATACATCATTCTCTGATAATTCATTATTCATTTTCAACTTCCATTTTTCGCTTTTATTATCATTCTTCAAACTTATTTAATAATTAAAAGGAATAAAACTGTTACATCTGATATGTAAATAATGTTCATGTAGTTCGAAAGAAATACAAAAATGGATATCTTCACTCAGCATAAGAACGTGTGAACACTAGATCATCCGTTTTCTCTTATCCCAAATTAACAATGTTTACTCAATAATTATATTTAGAAATATTCCACTGGGGCTTATAACACCTCAGAATCAAAGAGTTTATCATAATAAAGAAACTTAATTACTTGATTGGTCATTTCATGCAGCTGAGTTCAATGAGATGAAGTAGGATTGTGATTCACTGCGACAAGCTGTCAGAAAAGCATAGACAATCAGTCAAGGGAAGAATTAAAAATAACAATAATGAATCTGTTTGTGATCAAATAATCCGACAATTTATTTGATAAATAAATGAGCAAACAAAAGCTGAACCTATAAGATGAAACGATGACATTAAAGATAAAATACGAGACAGAAAATCTAATAAGAATGTTTTTCAATATTTTGCACAGAATAATATCATCATACTGTTGCTATTTCCAAGTTGGTATGACAGTTGCTAGACGATGTATAATCCTATCAGAATATATTGCTAATGCTTGATTCAGTGCGTACGGTCGTAATCGTCTTTCACCATTAACATTGTAATGCACATCACCATCACGAACACCAGTATGTACACCAACCAATCGTCCATTGGCATCAAATATACAACCACCACTAGCACCACGTAACGAGGGACAATCATGAACGATATGTATGTCGTCGTTTGCTATGCATTTTCCTATCGACACTGTTCGATGGTCGGGATGCATGGCAGAATTCAAATGTTCTCTTGTATATAATGAATAACCAGGACATTCTTCATAAAATTCCACATCTTTTTTTGTTCGGATTGTTGAACAATATGCCAGCAAAAATAGTGATGAATTCGGTTCAAGTTCGGCTTTGTCCGATAATCGTGGTGGACAAAAATCCTTTTTGTTTTCGGACATTAATACATCTTTTATTTGTTCAAATCTGCAAATTCTCAAAATTGCAACATCATCATCATCCGAACAAACCTCGTTTGGTTGTAAACCAATACTATTAATACCACGAATGATTATTTCAGCTTCAAATACATTTGTATTATCTGTGTTGAATAATTGATCAGATGCATATGATAACGATGTAAATTTAATACGTTTATATGGCACAAGTACATCTTCTTCTTCTATTAATGGGTTAAAGATATGAGCTGCTGTAATAATATATCTATCATTGATAATTAAACCACTTCCGGTTATATAACTTGTTATTTCTGCTTGCTGAAATTCGACACGAATTTTAACAACAAATATTGATAAATATTCGAGTTTTTTTATGGTTGTTAAATCAATGTTCACATCAGAATTGATTATTAGTTGAGGTCGACCATTGGATGAATAAGTAAATGGAACATTTTCTTTCAATTGATTTGTTTGACAATCAATAAATGCACGTTCATTCGATGTCTTATGTTTAGATCGAATTACTCGGTTATATTTGATGAGGCGTTGTTGAACTTCATGTTCTTCTTCTGACGATGATTTATTACTAGTATTCTATAATAAAAATTTAAAAAAAGATTTAGATACGAGAAAGATCTATCAGATAACAGAAGATCATCACTAAGTGGGAGATTTCTTATGATCACAACGAACACTGTATTGATTTGGCCAGTGACTTAGACACTAGTCTTATCAATAACAACAACTGCCTCTTTTCTCCAGAACTGGTCAATTCTGATACAAGCTCCGCTAGACAAAGATCAGAGCTTTGTTTTGCATATTATACATGATTCTCGTGTTATACAGTGGACTTCGGTTTTATCTTCAGAAATATGACTTACTAATTCTTCCTTGGTGTGTTCGACTGGTTTTGCTGACGATGACATGATATCAACTTTATATCAGTTATCTAAAATGAAAAAGACTTTCTAGAGTACTTTCTTCAGGCTAGTGATATTCGTATGACGACATTCTTTGACCTTTTCAACCTGAGATGTGTTCTGCTAGTTCAATTAACTAGTGTGAGAAGTGTCGTCCACTTGAAGAAGAACTAGACAAAGATCTCCTCACGAGTCAACACATAGAACAAAGATATTGAATTGACAATCAAGTTAATTGATCTTTTGGAAAACGTTTTCATTCTATTCAGTAGAGAAACAAATGTTTCGTTGTTGGAAATGATCTTCTTTGGAAAAACACATGGGATTTCTGTGCAGGTTGAATATCTTCAAATTGATCAATAAATGACGTCTATTTCTCATCAAAGATTCATTCGAATAATAAATAAAGAACTTCACAAAGCAATTCATCGTTTCGGAATTGAACGTTTTTCTACTTATTTATTCGTTTCTTCATCATTAACTGATCTAAAATCAACAATAGAATTGAAATCAATTGAAGAAAATTTCCCTCTGCAGATCACAATGATAATTGTGCAATGCATTGGAGTCACGCGACATTTCTCTACCTTGTCTTTCGAAATCAAATTCAACTTAATCTTAGAGGATTTTCTCATCTAAACGATTTGAATAATGGCTACTAATGACACTAGTTGAATAATGATTCAAACAAAAACACATTGACTTTCTTGACGACAATGATCACGAAGATTTGTCAGCCATAATGAAGAATGAAGTTTACCCGCTAACGCAGTTTTAGTCGATGAAGAAAAACAACTCAATTCACCATAGAATTGATCATGAGCTTTTCTCTTCAATGAAATCTGTTTAAATTTCATATATAGATGATCACAATCGAGTCTTTCAACGTCAAATACAAGTTTGAGATGATCAAATGATCTAAACAAAAAAAATTAATTTAAACAAAAACTTAGTGTTCATTTTGAGATAATCAGATGATCGAAAAAAAACAGAAAAAAAGTAATTGATCGAAATAAAAACTTACTCTTCATTTTGAGTTGGTTAGATGATCTAAATACAAAAGAAAAAAATTAATGTAAACAAAAACTTGCTGTTGAAGCTTGTTGTAAAATCGCCGATTAATCGCCACAAGTGACGCGACTTCGATGATATGAGTTTTTCTTTCAAATCGAAGTTCGATACAAATAATGCTCAAGAATAAAACTTAGCAACCCTTTGCGTCATTTTCATTAAAAATCATTCAATTTAATTCAACTTCCTTTTCATTAACTTCAAATCTTCTAGGAAAAATCAAACATGTTAAAGAAATCAACAAAAGAAAAAAGACTTACTGATGAAATGATTAAGGGTTATTTCCATCATTATGAACACGAATTTGCAAAAATCAATAATAACAAAATCTGATCGATGTTCGACTGAAAGTTTCTTTTTTTTATTCGAAAAAGAAGCAAGTTTTATTGTCCATTGTTCAAAATGGCAAATAGCAACAAAGAGGATGAAATAATGATGATCATTAAAGATTCTCCTTTATAATTAATCATAACTCAACCATTCAATTAGAGTTTCGATCAATAAGAATTCTTTTCAACTGAATAGATAAAAACAAACTTCGATCGTTTATGAAGCTTTTCAATGATTTCACTTTGGCTTATTTTTTTCCACTCAATTCAATTGATCTATCGAAAAGTGGCGACATCTTTATCTGATTTGTGTCAAAATTTCTGCTTGAGATAATTACATAAACTAATTCGTTCACTGACGAAATGAATGCCATTAGCATTTTGTTGCCATTGTCTCTCATGAAACGACTCTCTAGCAACTGGACGTTAGATTTTGATATTCAATCTGTCGAGATATTCTATAGTTTTCAGGAGACCAAAAACGAAAAAAAAAGAAATTCTCTTTAGAATAATTCTTATATAAAGCAAAGAAGAGTGATTTTCAATAGTAGTGTACAATACAATTCATTTTATCAAACGGAGTTAACTGTATATATTACGATATGACTTAACACAAGAAAATTTAGCAGATCATCTAGTATTTTTCCTCGAAAAAAGAAATTTCGCTGATGTTTTTTCATTGAAATCCACTCGCAAACATAATTATCTAATATATTGATGATTCTAAGTGGTCAAAACTTTTTATTAGAAGTTGGTGCAAAATGACTGATGTCTTTCTCACACAGATTTTTGAGAATGAGATGGTAAAAAGAGATAGAAGTGCTTTTATGCTCTATTCACGATAAAAAATAATTCTAGATTTGTTCAGCGATGCTTTCAAAATCACTATGACATGTTCTTTGATGTCACAAAAAAAAGTAAGTTTAACAATCTTTTGAAATATTTCTCCAATAAATATTGTTACAAATTGATTTTATTGAAATAAGATTAAGAGAATATCTTCAATTTGTTTGATAAAAGTTGCATATTTAGAAATAGCCCCAAATTCACAAAACAAACAATAATGAAAAAGATTTTCTCAATGACGATAAAACAATGAAAGAGTGGAAAACTTTTTAAATGCATCATTACAAATAATCAAACAAAATCAGTCAATATTTCGGCACTTTTTTCAAAGAATGTTCCATACTTTGTCGCAATAATAGTTCATTAAGAATAGAAGCATGTAGTGAAAATGTTATTTGAAATGTAATGAAAGAAGGTATTCTCATATCTGATTGATTATTGCAACGTTTTCCTCATCAGTTCGTTTCGAAAACTTATCGTCATTATCAACCATTGTTTTTTCGACAAGTTTATCGAAGTTTTCCGCAAGAAATTTCTTCATCAATATTGGATAACAACTCTTGTTCAATTTTCCAATGAAATACTAAACCATTCGTTAATCATTCTCAATGTTCTCTTTTTCTTTTTCATCATTTCAAAACAAATTTTTTTTCCTGCTTGCAACCAAATCAAAAAAATATTTCACCTCAAATGAATTCGCTCAAAAATATTGCAATTCCTCTTTTTCAAATGTTAATTTATAGCAGAACAAAGAAAAAACGACTCATCTTTTCAATGGATTATCGTTATTTATCAATCCAGTTCACAATTGAAAATTGATTCGATATTCAGTTGCATTTTTAGCTTCTTTTACTTTCTGAAATAGAAAATCGATCAACGAAAGGAATTCATGAGTCTTTCAGAAATCGAATAATTAATCGTTCAAATAAAAAGAGATCGAGATTTTGTACGAGAAAAGATGATGTGTATTTATCAACACAAACTGTCACATCTCCTTCAACAATAAATAATGAAATTGTCGCAATAATTGGTAAAGATGCTAATCTTTTACTTATGCATTTTGAAGAAAAAGAAAAACGTACAGTATCTGATTCACAATTAAATACAAGTGAACAAGGGTGTGGGTGTGAAGGTTCACTTCACCAACACTCCCCTACACTCACACCCATACCCACACCCACACCCACCCTGCTGTACACGCTAACAAGAATGAAGGCAAATATGATTGCTAGTTTCCCGGAGATAGTGTCATTGAGAATTGGAAGACACTCCATTCGATATCAAATTGTTTGCTTTGTTGCTATGGATAGTTCAAACAGAATTATGATTGCAAGTTCTGAGAGCTGAAAAAATCGACTTTGGGTTTTTCAATATATACCCCACATTAGGTAGAAAATTTAGCAAGCTGATCATAACTAGAACTCTCGATAATTTTTTGAAACAGAAGAATCTAACGACAGTCTGCGCAGACGTGACATTAAAAAACTCATTTCTCTCATTGGAGTAGTCCATCCTAGCTCTTCTCACATCATGATTTACTATCATAAATTGACTCCACAGATCTATAGGGACAAACCTTTTCAGGCTTATGTTAGTTCCATTAAGACGTCCTTCTGGGTCCAATTTAACCTCAAACGATCGATATTCCTTCAATTGGTTATCCCGCTAGAAATAAACGCAAATATCTTTTTTTATTTTAGTATCAATAAAAAAAATCCCCGATTCTAATCCCAGCTAAAAATCGGATAGTTTTATCTCAGTTATAAGATTCTATTCAAAATGAATGTAAACATATGCATGTACTAGATAAATCGTTAATAGATAAATTTAGAAAAAATGATTCTAAGTATAATATTTGATTATATTAAATAACCTGTTAAATATATTTCAACTGTATGATCAACTATTGTTATTTTAAAACATTAATAATTAAATCATTAATATTAAATTCTGTCCAAAGAATATTTGACCATAATTTTTTATTTCGTTTAACCCTTTCAGGACCGGCTTATTTTGAGCAAAAATTACAAATTTTTCAATTTTTCAAAAATGATTTATTCTTCTCAGATTTATCAAAATGTGAACATCAGAAGGCTTTCAAAGTGTGA